AATAAAGTATCTATCTGAAGGGGATTTTAAAATTATGAATTTAGGTACTAATAGTACACATTTATGTTAAGGATTGAGTGAGATATTGTATTTTCTTTGTGTTTTTCAACTTTGTGACGAAAAAATCATGTGATCTTGCCATTCTAAGGAATTATGCAAGCAGCAGTAATGCTGACAACCATTGAAGGCCAAGATAATGATTCCGACGAGTGTAGCACCGGAGCCGTTTCAGACGTCTCCAAAGGGAATATCCCTGATCATAGTGGTCCATACAATGTTGTTACGATGGATTGTTGAACAGTGCTGGCCACTGACTTTGTAGTCCTATTCTCGAATGATCGAGGTTTTTGTTCGTTTCCTTCTAAGAGCTTATTCGCGACTTTTCTATAAAATGTATTATTACCTTTTTTTTGCTTTCAGCTGCTCGGATTTTTTCCATGCAGCGTTATACATCATTGTTCTCAGTTCTCTGTCAGAATGGCGTGTGAAAGCAATGATAGTCCTACAAATTGCTAACCACGGACCAGTTATGGTCTGTTTCTTTGAATATGCGTGGCTGTCGGGCGACTCGGATTAGAGTACGAGTGGAAACTCCCGAGAGCCTGTGGGAAACTAGTTTTCCACAGGTCATTTTGCTGGGCCTCTGGAGGCGTGGTAAACCTCGCGTGGACAACACTTAGTCAGCATATTAGTAATATCATTATAATGTTCCAAAAAGGAAATTTTAAAGAGTTTTGTGTCGTTTACCTCTATTGAGCTGAAAATTTAGGTACAATATTAATTTCAGACATTGGTTATACTGCTGAGAGCAATTTTATTGTGTTTTATAGTCTACCAGTGTTGAAACATACATAATAAATAGATATATCTAAGAGAAATAAAAAGAAAGAGGTAACTAATTACATTGACCAGGCTTTATTATTGTTCAAAATTTGTAAATTGTCTGAAGAGGTACTGGAAATATTGTCCATATCTATCACTTGTACCTCTCCAGTTTTATTAGAGTGTACTCCTTCAAATGAAGGAGTATCTGAAAGAATGTCAAGCAAAATAGGAGATGTTAACCTAATAAAATGACAGACATAGAGTATATGCACTCTCAAACTATCTATTTTCCTTGCTTTTCGTCAGGTTGAGGCATTTTTTCTTAATTTATCTACTGACATAATATTATGTATGACTAATACATTTGAGTTTTCCACAGGCCAATTTCCGGCAACCCTTGTGGTAGTGAGGTTTACCTCGTGGGAAACCTCTGTGGTAATCCTCACTGTGGGAAACTAGGGAGTTTCCACTCGTACTCTAACTCGGATTGAGAACTTGAGAGTAAGGGAGAGAAACAAGTTGGCTCACGTAAGCAACATGTGATGATCGAACGAAAATCGACTCACCAAATTGATGGGAAGTTCCCTCATGACCTCATCCGCGTTCCATCATCCTCGAAGCTTTTCTTGTCATGTGAGACAGTGTTATACTTACACGTCGTGTCGCATCAAGTTTACCCTATAGAGTAGGGGGATCCACTGTTCCTTAGGCATCACTCAGAGTTCTGATTTTACACCGGGTGCATTCGTGTTTTATCGTCAGCTGGGACGTTACATACTGGGGTGAGGTATATTGCACAATGCATGTGAACGACGCTGTGAATTTCTCAGCCTTGACTAAACGTCATTATCTATTTCCACATCCTCTAATTTGAGATCCTGGATTCTACACCGGCTTTTGAAACCAATAATTACTACTCAGAGACTTTCCATTCCTGTCGTTTGTCACTAGCTCTTGGCTAATTTCTAGCTGTCGGGCCCCGCCCCTCCGATTAGGCTAATCAAGTTTCTCAAATCTACGTTCCCAGAAGAATCCAATTTGCTGCCGGTCGTACGCGTATCCTCGATATCCAGTTATTCATACATAAAGAAGTCTTCGAAGAGCGAATCGAAGTCTAAAGGCCAGCTGTTCAGTAACGAGCTGACATATGCGGTCGTACGCGTACCCTCGTTGTGCAGGGAGTTCATACATGAAGAAGTCCTCGAAGAGCGAATAGTAGTCTAAGGTCTAATTACTCGATAATGTGGTGACGTTTGCCGGCACTGCTGCACGGCACAAATATTTCTTTCCCTTTTTCGGAATTTGGACCGAGTATAAAATACATGTGTTTTGGACAACTCTTGTCATCCAGGGTCAAACCCACTTTCTTAATCTTATCCTACCATGTCCAACGTTAAGAAACTTCCTACTCGTCGCCTTGGTGCCAATGGACCAACTGTCAGTGCTGTTGGGCTTGGAACAATGGGTACGGCTCGGCTATGCCTCTACAATAGTACTGTATAATATATCACTGGTTGATTGCCATACCAATAGGCATTGGTGCTTACTATGGAAAGACTGACGAAGTAGCTGCATACGAGGCTTTGACGTATGCCGCCAATCGTGGCATGACATTCTGGGACTGCGCAGATATTTATGGAGATTGTACGTCTGTCTACTTTCCTTTATTTATTCTTTCTAGAATATTGATTAGATATTTGTTACTTGTTTGTCTTAGGTGAACTGACGCTCGCAAAGTGGTTTGCAGAGACAGGCCGTCGGTCCGAGATTTTCCTCGCAACCAAGTTCGGCGCGACCGACCCAGAGAGCAAGTTCGGAGGCGGGAAACCTATCTCAACACCGACGTATATCAAATATGCGCTCGAGCGTTCACTGAAGCGTCTCGGAACGGACTATATCGACTTGTATTACCAGCATCGCGTCGACCCGAATGTTCCGATTGAAGTTGTACTCGAGACACTCCGCGGGCCACTTGAAAAGGGTGTGATTCGCTATATTGGTTTGAGTGAATGTAGTGTCGATACGTTGCGCCGTGCGAAAGCATTGAAGGGAGTTGGGGAGAAGGTCATTGCTGCGCAGATGGAGTTTAGTCCGTTCACTCTAGATATCGAGAAGGATGGTTTTGCGAAGGCTGCGGAGGAGCTTGGTGTTGCTGTCGTCGCATATAGTCCACTTGGACGCGGTTTGGTTTCCGGGAGGTAAGGCACACTTCCGCGTAAAGGTTTAATTTGGTGTGCTTTGAAAAATATTCTTATGACTATGCCAAAGGTTCCGCTCTCGTGCAGACTTCGAAGAGAACGACCTTCGCATGTACTTGCCACGTTTCTCAGAAGAGAACTTCCCAAAGAACGTCGAACTCGTCGACAAGATCAGGGTAATAGCCGACAAGTACAAAGCGACACCGAGTCAAATCGCTCTAGCCTGGATACTTGCAACGTCAGAGAACTGTTGAGTCCCTCCCTCTTTTAACGTCTAGGACCGTATTTTTTTTTTACGCTGAAACCAGTTATACCAATTCCTGGATGCCGAACTGTTGAGCGCGTCGAAGAGAATGCTCGAGGTGCCGAGGTACGACTCACACCGGAGGACGTCAACGCGATTCGTGCTCTCTCTGAGGCTGCTGACGTACGTGGAGAGAGATATCCTTCCGCCTTCATGGCGTCTTGTGAAGGCAATTGCATTCCATTAGGAGAGTGGAAAGGAGAATGAAAAAGCGATCGCGCTGGTACTGCACGTGCGAAACCACTGGCAGTATCAGAATTGTAAAGGATTATAAATAAATGAATGTAACAAGTTACTCGATTGGCACCGGCATAATTTGAATTTGAATAAACAAAAGTTTCGTTGACTGTTCCTGGGTGGGGAATCTCTTGCACGTGAACATAGCTGTTCAAACTTCGACGTTGAGTGTAGAAATCAGCACAATTTAGGTAGAGAATGAAGGCCGACCGATTTGCCAAATGTCCATCTATATCTATGTCCACAATTGCAACTCAGGACTCAACAACTCGCCAACACCCAATCCACTACACCATTCTCCTGACCACTAGGTTTCACAATCAAACTCCAGCATCTCACGGTCCTGCTCGACCGTCCAAGTCTTGCCTCATTCTTTGCGCCTTCTTCAAACGCCTTGAGTGAGATGTACGATAAGGGAGCGTTGGAGAACGTGTTTGCGGTTATAGCTACGAAACTGGTACTCGCGTCGTCTCTTTTGACACTAGGAATTTATTAGCAACGCGAAGGCAACGGGGAGTACAAAGTAGAGGACAGGTAGACATACAAATCGGTTGTTGTTTCTAAAACGCTTCGGATCGTAGAAGGTCCCAGCAACCCACGCCATCGGAAATGCGTTACGTCCCCCACTGTCGCCTTCGGTGTTGGTGGTTCGTATACTGCGACGAACGGGTTGACACGGTCGTTGGCTTTTAATCTAGCACGGAAAGCAGAAAGGTCAGGTAGGGCCTCAACGCCAATAAAGTGGAAGAGAAGTGTTATGGTCGAAGACGAACCGATCTGAACCAATACACGCCATCCCAACCCACTCGAACAACTCATTCATACGTTCTTGTCGGTCCTCTTCAGCATCTGCTTTTGACTCCTCACCTCCAGTACTAGTATTCGTAACACCACCAAAAGTGCAGCCATCCTCGTGGTCCAGAACCGGGACAAGGATATCGGAAGTGGTAGTGACGCTCGGCTGCACGGTTTCAGGTTTGAGCTCCGTCTCTAGGTTACTTGGCAGAGCTATTTGAAGTAGTTCATGAGTACGACACGATTCAAGCGGGGAAAGTGCCTTTAAATGTAATAGTGTGCTGCAGACCTTGAACACAAACCCGCCAAGGTCCGATTCCCTGTACTCTCCTCCGTTCGTCCCATAACCGAATAGCCTCCTTCGCACGAGTAAACTGACTCGAGGTTCGTTCGTGAAGGTCGACATACACTGCTACAATCTATTGATTAGCACCCTTCTCTGTATAAATATAAAGTAAAAGTAAATTTGAGGGACGTACCGTGTACCTCCGCTTTTCCACTCCCAGATAACCTGACTTTCTCCCCAACCAGTCCGAGTTGCTCGTACGTCTCCTTCGTCAATACTATCGTAAGTACTCCACGTTGATCGATACACCATACGTCCTCCATCCCTATGTGTCCAGTAGACAGAGCCAGAAAGTCACTACCATCCGTGTCCAAGGCGAAAATGATGAAATGAGATTCTTGGCCCATTCGTCGCGAAAATGAACTTACTTTTGCGAAGAGTACTTCCCACTCAAGTCGTATGCAGCGTCGAAGAGCTCAGAAAGCTCGAGGGTACCAGAGAAATACGAGCTAGTGATCGATCGTAGGCGTTCTTCAAGCTCAGAGTTTTGGTGGACGATAAGGACGTCAAGCTATATTTTTTAACATAGAATAAGTAACGATACTGAATATGAGTCGTTGGTAGGAGAGATAACTGACGACATTCCTGTTGTATGAACGGATGACAGTTGCTCAGCTGTTCTGTCAGTTTTGCAGTTGAGGAGCCGGAGTTGGTTGTGAACGTTGTTCGGGTCGAGTTGGACATGACTTCGGTGTGGTCAAAGCTCGTCTTTTCTTTCAACTTTGAGAACGTCTAGCGTCCAGGCTAAAACAATCCAAGACCGATAGAAATATTCTCGTGAGCTTTTTTGAGAGGCAATTATTGTTCGGAACGGATGAATGTAAAGAGCGCTGGACAAGGTTTCGGAGGAGTAAGTGTCGTGAACGTTACTTATGGATGATCTCGTCCTCCGACGCCGACGCAACGCGCTAATTTCTGATCATATAACAATATATCTCTTTGCTCATCATGTTCGCACTCGTCTCTCGTCCTCCTCTCACCATCTTACCTCGAATCTCTCGTCAAGCAGCAGTAGTAACGACGACTTTACGGAGAAGAACAATGACATCGAGTTCGCATTCAAATAATGGGCTACCAGAGACATCGATCCCAATACTCCAAACGCTCGAGAAACTACGTGCATGGCGGAACGAAGCCTTTTCGAAGGGTAAGAGTGTAGGGTTCGTACCTACGATGGGAGCGTTACATGAGGGTCATCTCTCACTCGGTACGTCTTTCTCTCTCCATTCTTCTCCTTACATCCCATTTCAATATTTCAATATATATATAATTTCTTATTTATTCTTGGATTCCTGCAGTCCGCCGTTCACTAGCAGAAAACGACCTAACCATCGTCTCCATCTTCGTCAACCCGACCCAATTCGCTCCACACGAAGACCTAGCCTCTTACCCTCGTACGCTCCCTCAAGACCTCCAAGCTCTCTCTGCGCTTCACTCGCCCCCGCCAAGTTCGCGTACGACGGCTGCGGTGTTCCTACCCTCGGTGGAGGTTATGTATCCTCCCTCTCCTTCCTCCTCCTCATCAGAGAAAGGAGGGAACCCACTAGCAGCCAGCACCCTCGTCGACCTCCCCTCCCTAAGCACCCACCTCGAAGGTCGTACCCGACCACACTTCTTCCGCGGAGTCTGTACAGTCGTCACAAAGCTCTTCAACGCCGTCCAGCCTTCTCACGCTTACTTCGGTCAGAAAGATATCCAACAGGCGCTTATTCTTCGACGCATGGTGAGGGACTTGTTGTGTGCGTATCCTGGTGAGGAGGGGTTGCATATCGTTCCTACTGCTCGTGAACCTGAGGAAGAGGAAGACGAGAAGGAGAGGGAGAGGGAGAGGGAGAGGATGGATGGATTGGCATTAAGTTCGCGAAACAGTTACTTAACTCCGCAAGAGAGGAAATACGCACCTGCGTTATACAAAGCTCTCCGAGCAGGTGAAATAGCATGGAACACCGGTTCAACAAAAGACACTGTCATCCATTCCGCTCATTCTTTCCTACATTCCGAGGCAGAACGAGCAAAACGAGAGGATGGTGTGGACTTGCGTGTGGATTACGTTGAGATGAATGATCCGTGGACGTTTGATGTCGTCGACGGGTCTGAAACTAAGACAAAAAGTAGCGATGACGGAGAGGATGTATGGATACTTAGTGGTGCGATGTGGGTCGGTAGGACGAGGTTGATTGATAACGTCCTCCTGGGTAACAGCAGTAAGATTTTGTACTAACGAGATCATATATTTGCATATATGCGTGTTTTAATTAAATACAAGCAAATCCATATTCTATGATCGACCCTTATGAGTAGAGTATCGAGAAATAATAGCCTACGCAGGCTTCATAAACCCAGCGAAATACGTCTCTAAAGCACTAACACCCTCCCCTCCCAGCGGTGCTACCAAACCAATATACCCATCAGGTCGAACAACTACAACTGCACCTCGTTCGGGAGAGATCCCGTACGTCGCGTATGCTTTCCCGCCTTTGACGTGTTGGACGTCTTCGTCGTCTACGAAGACTCTATAAAAGCACGTTAGCGTTAGCATCTGATTTTTTTTTTAAAGAGAGGGATAGAGGAGACGCACTTCGTCCAATGTGACCTCAAAACAGCAGGTACATCCGTATAATCCACAACTTCCTTCTTCCCAGCCATAACACTAACGATCTCAAACACCTCATCCCACTCCCTCTTCTCCTTCTTCCATATTGCTTCATTATCCTTTCCGTCCTTTCCCCCCTTACTTGAATTTGAACTCGTACTCATCGTTCGAGCACCAAACTTCCTTAAAACCCCACCTTCCCGACTCACGCCCTCCGCAAACTCCTGTACCCTCCTCCTTGCGCCTTCTTCCTCACCCAAGTTACCCGTAAAGACGATAAGTTTCCACCTCCCATCTGAGGGTAAGGAATCTTGAATCTCGTGAGGCCTGCCGTTAGCGGTGTTAAGGACGACTTGTGGAGGGAAGCGCGTCCCAACGTCTAGGTGTGTTGCTAGAGTGCTGGAGGAGGTGGCAGTGGTGGATGAGGAGATGGAGGATGAAGGAACTGTGAGTAAGGAAGGAGAGTATTGGATCCCGATTCCGGAGGTGAAGCCGCCGAAGGTTTGGAAGGCGCTGTCCATGCGCGCAAACAAATGAAAGTAAGTAAGTAATAGAGTTGGTTATTAATGTATAGAAGAGGGAGAGAGAGACGTACGCTAAGAACTGATCATGCGTCACTCCTTCTTGGTTCTCCTCTGACCTTGGTTTTCCAGAGAAGAGCGCTGCGAACTTCCGGTCGAAGTCGATTAGGTCTTGGGCGTATTTGCGTCGTTCGAGTTCGTACTAAACATGTCAAGTACCGAAAAGTCGTTAGTAAATGATAGCATGAATTGAATCGAAGCAGAGGTGGAGACGTACGGTCTTGAGAATTGAAGGATCTGCCCAGCCGCGTAGGACATGGACGAGCTTCCACACTAACGTCGAACACAAATGTCAGTATTGAGTTGAGGCTAGTCGGATGAGAGGAGAAACTAACTGAGGTTGTGCGAATCGTTCATACTCGCATTCATTCCCTGACCCGCCTTCGGCGAATGCGTATGGCACGCATCACCAGCGATGAATACCCGCTCCTTCAACGAGAAGTTGGACGCAACCCTTTGTCCAACTAAAATGTCAAATCAACATTAGTACCTCAATTAAGAAAGTTATACGAGAATCCACGCACTGATATACAAAGTCCACCACTCAACGTCCTCCGGAAACTCAATCGTATACGGCTGTAAATTGCGCTTCGCAATAGCCATCAACCGCTGAGGTGTCCACCGCATCTTATCAATGCGTCCTTTCGCATCCAACACCTCCTTCGCGTCTTCGTCCGAGAGTTGGATGTACAGCCGCACGATGTCGCCCTCGCGCGGGATGATCATACAAGACCCGTTCTTCGAGTGTATGGCTGTTTTGTTGCGGATGTCGGGGAAGTCGGTTGTAGGTATCATGTCGACGACGCCCCAAACGTAATCTGTTTGTTCACCGTCCATTGTAAATCCGAGTGTCCTGCGAACCCATGAATGTGCTCCGTCAGCTCCGAGAACGTACTTGGCCTGCACGACTTCCTCCCTCTCCTCTTGTCCATCATCCGTAAAATGCTTCAACGTAACTTGAACAGGATAACTCTCCAAGCTCGCAAGCACTTCGGGAGACTCGTCGAGCTTGTTCGCCGAAGGCTGGATTGGGCGTTCGATTTCCAATCCGCCGTGTTCGCGCATGGAATCGAGGAAGATGGCTTCGATGGCGCCTTGGTGGAGTGTGACCTACCACCAGCGAATCAGGTTAGTTTATAAGACACGAGGGAGAGTCGCTCACCTCAAACGGATACCGCGCGTTTGTTGCAGTGACGTCTGGAGCTCGTCCGTCTCGCTAGCATTTAGTAGATGAGTACGTTATAATAACAAATTTGTAGACGAGAGAACGCACAGCAATACCACCACTGGGCGACGGGTTATAAAACGCGGCTAAATGCATCTGGTTTCCTTCTCGCAGCAACCGTTCAGCAAGACCATAGCTCTAAACAACCCGCGTCAAATCATAGGAAACAAGATTAGTACACAAACCAAGGGAAGGAAAAGGCTAGTACTGACCTGGAAGACCTCGATCGTCCTGGGCTGAATACCATCTGCCTGTCCAGCAGCAACTTTCTTAGGCCGCTTGTCTACGACGCGTACGTTAACGCCCGCACGCGCAAGCGCATTGCCAGCCATAAGACCCGCAGGCCCAGCACCAATAACGAGGACATCGACTTTCGAGTTCGAATTAGAGGACATGTCAATAAACCAGAGTGTTAGACAGGAGCGTTTGTTCCAAGCTGTTCTCTACCAAGGGTTTATGGTAGATGGCGCCTAGATAGGAGCTTTATATTAACCAGACAAGCGCAGATCGATGAAAGAAGGGACTAGGCGAGATGCGATTCTGTCGGAGAGTATGCAGAGCATGGTTGGCATATATGCGTAGGCCAAGCACGGGACATCCAAGGTCCGCCCTAGCTGCCAAAACCGAACTGCCTTTTTGAGTGTCGACTCTCCCAAGTGCATAAGCGAATTACTCTAGCAGGCCTCGCGACGGAGGATAATCGTTCTGCACGCCTAGCGATGTGCCATGTTCAGTACATCATCCAACAGTGGATTATGGGTGTCCGTGGAACACCGTGCGAAGACAAGGGAGCGAGAGTGTTGAGTATGGTAATTTATTGACGAAGCAGACAAGCCGACCATCGGTTCCGGCTTACTAACACCGCCTATATACGGCTTCAATTGCCTCTTCAAGTTTAGCTTAGCTTAGTTGTTTAAAGCATATTCCAGTCGTGCAGGTAAGCTTACCGAAAAGAATGTTTATTCATTATTTTTGTATTTACTATGTACAATCATAATGTAAGTATTACCATCTTAAAATGATAAAGCATTATAGCCAACTTAGAATAACACTTGTTGCACTAGTTAGAGTGATATACCCTTGAAATCTTCATGAGTGATTGCCTGTCCAAGTTCCCAAATACACCAAATCAGCGGAAAACATGAACAGATTGTTGTATCTGAAGTAGACTATCTTTGATCCGAGTGTTGGCTTCTCTCCAGGCAGCCCTGTCAGCCTTAGTAACAAATAATATTCATAATATTACAGCACTAGCATTACTATAAAATTCATCATCAGGAGTACACATTATGTTAACATTCAAGTTGATCAAAGAATGTACACGATGTCACTCCCCAACTTTCCACAAAAAAAAACCCTTCCAAATTATCTCAATAATCATTGACCTCAAGGCTCTACCTACAATAGACTCTGAAGAGTTGTAGGTTGACAGGCACAAGAGTTACATCCGCCATCCGGGTCCTCTGCAAAAAGGTCGGTAATTTGGTTGACAGGGATGAAAACCCAGTGCTGGTTTGTAGCATTCTGGCTGATAGTATTGACTGCTAATTGGTGCTTTTGATAGTTAGATAGATGGATATATTAGTAAATTCTCTGTGAAATGGCCTTGGAGAAGAGAAGTTGAAGTCAGCTTACCGTGGCCGCATTCTGTGTTATTGCTGTATTGTTATCAACAATCCTAAAGTAGACATGTAATTAGGCAACAGGTTTGTGATAAGAAATCACAGAACGCTCACAAAAATTGAGAAGAGACACCCGGAACGGGCTGAAGAGTCCAAGCTTGAGCAGTCTCGCTATGTACGAGATTTCCGTTCTGAAGCAATGGTTATGATTAGATATCAAAATTCACCAACAACAGTACTTACAGAGTTAGCAGCATAGCCACCCGTATCGGGCTTTCCCTCCGCAGTAGACATCACACGCAATGTCACCTTATAGTCGAACGGACTGCCCACTGCCTTCACACTCCACTAAAGGTAGACTATCAGCCGAGTACTTGTTAATACAAGTGGAGAGAAACTAACCCATTCGTTAGTCTTCTGAGATACATAACAGTATCCAGCAATAGGATTGCCTTCTTTAGGTATAAAACGGATATTGTTGAACACCTGCTTAAACTGTACGTTGAGAATGAAGTATATCCCATCCGATGGATAGTTGACTGAAGGGGGGATAATCTGCGCCACTGCTGATGAGACACAGAGAGACGCGAGAGAAAGGAGATTGAGGAACTTCATGTTACTTGCAATGGGCTGTAGAGACTTGAAGATGAAGATGAATGCTATGGCAGAATAGCATTTATTTATACCACTGAGAAAGTGCCCTAGTGTAAGGATTCTTTAATGATCCCAATTGAAGTGTAGTAGGCCTTGGCGAGGTTATTCGGAGCGCTCAACCAAAAAACCTCACCTAATATCCTCGATCTTCCAGTGCTAGAAGACGCAAATAATTCTGAGGGACTTCACCATTAAGAAAGCGCAGGAACTAAAGGTGAACAATCCCAATTAGAGTGTAGTATGCTATTGCGAAGTTATTCGGAGCGCCAAACTGCAGATTTTCCTTTGATATTCTCAGTTGATCGGCCATACAAGACACTGGGGGATTTTAAGCGCTCTAACTAAAGGGCTTCTTCGTTAACAATTTGTCTTGAAGTGTAGTAGGCAGCTATTGTGAAGTTGTTCGGAGCGCTGAACTAAACATTTTCCTCTGATATCCTTGATTGTTCGGTTCTAGAAAAGACAACTAAAATTCCAGGAACTTTTTTGCTACTTGTATTGATATACAGCGTTCTGTAGCTTGCCAATTCGCGGTCCATTAGTAAGAAGCGTGCTGGAGAGTTTTTCACTGACCAAGTGATCATGATGCTGAACGTTACAGTAACACACTACTATTTGCATGTACTTTTGAAGCTCACAGAAGATCTGGATTGAAAGCACTGTTGCTGCACCAAGATCTGGGAATGACTTGTTTTCCAACAGATAGACTAGACAGACAAGAGTTAATGATGAATAAGGTGAAAACAAAACAATAACCGAATATGGTAAAGAGCACAGCCAATACGTTGGTTCCAGCTCCATATATAGCTTCGACGCAACCATTTTGGGCTTCAATGAGTTCTCCGAGTCTAATGCATATTCTTAGCTGTGTGGTTGAACTTAAAATGCTTGTAGCTTTATTTATGAGGCGACAGTATATTACTGGAATTATTCCTAACAGACTATGATAAAGTTGCATGTCTTGGCATTCAATGACTCTCTCACTATTTGTATAGTTACTACCTTACTAGTACTCGGTGCATACAACTGTACACAATTGTACTGTAATTACTCGAAAATTTCATGAATGATTGTGTGTCTGAGTTCCCACAGACGCTAGTGGCTTTAATTCATTACACTCAACAGGAAATCCTCGAACAAGCTTACTTCACACTCCAGTAGTGATATGTGCGTTAAACTAAACGCCTCTAACAGGTGCCGTATGAAGCATACACACGGTTTCCGACACGAAGAAAGCAATTCAGTAGGAAGTAAGGGGAGATCACATCTATGGTAGTCTCTAAGTCTTGTTCGCGATCCGAGAGTAGGCTTCTCTTCGGGCATCGTGCGACCCTGCCAAGATTAATGGTTAGTATTGATGAAAGCACAGCACTATTGCAGTAACAGTCGTCTGGGGCACATACTACAATAATATTCAGGTTGATCAAGAAATATACATAATATTGTTTCCTGACTTGTTGCAAATTTCCTTCAAAGCAATTCAGCAGTCCTTAGCTTCAAGGCTCGGAAGTGACTATTGTCAATCTTGGACGAGTTTACAACGGAGCCGGGCAGAACTGGCAAGGATCACATCCACCATTCGGATCCACCGGGAAATAGTTAGTAATCTGATCGAAAGGGATGAATGCCCATTGTTGGTTTGCAGCATTCTGGTTTATAGCCTCAACCGTTAATGCGACCTTTTGATAAACAAGTCAATACATCTCGTGAGACAAGGGAAAAGGATTTAGTCAGCCTACTCCATCTGGGTTTTGGAAAGCCTGTGTTATTGCTGTATTGCCATCAACGATCCTAATACCATGTTGTGTAATTATGTAGACAGCCTATAGTATGTTACTCAGACACTCACATAAATTGAGAACAGGAATTTGGGACTGGCTTCAGAGTCCAAGTAGACGCGGTCTTGCTATGCACAAGCGATCCATTCTAAAAAAAAAAAGAATTATCAGCCATTACAGTAAGTTTCGTACAACGACAGTTCTTACCTCGTTAGCAGCATAGCCGCCAGCAGCAGGATTTCCCTGCACAGTCGACATCACACGCATTGTGACCATATGGTTGCCACTCGTGCTGCCCACTGTTTCCACCAACCACTAGAGATGAAGGATGAGCCAAGCACTAATACATGTTAGCAAATATAGAGAACTGACCCACTCGTTAGTTTTCTGTGATACATAACAGAACGCAGCAATAGGATTGCCCTCTGTAGCCTTAAATCCGAAATTGTTGAAGAACTCCTTGAATTGAACGTTGTAAATGTAGTATATCCCATCAGGAGGATAGTAAACTGAAGGAAGAATCTGTGCCACTGTCGAATAGACGCAGAGAATTGCGAGAGATAGGAGACTGAAAGCCTTCATGTTGCTTGTAATGAGTTGTAGGAACCTGAAGGTGAAGATGCTGGCTGCAGCCAGTGTGCTATTTGTACCACTCAAAGTGCTCCGCTTTTAGGATTCCTCAAATGATCCCAGATACAGCGTGATCGAGTTTACAATGGCATTCCGACTCATATGGAGTCCCGAGACAAGTCCTTCCTCTAGTGTTCCTAATTGTCCGGTTCCGGAAGATACAACTGCCTCTTACTGTATACATAGATAGGCTGCATAGGCAGCATTTATAGCTTGCCAACTTGTTAAGACGAGACTACACAAGAGTATGTCTCAGATGATATAAACTACATTACAAGCAATGACGAACGATGATGGAATACCTTCCATCATACATTCTACATCTGAGACATACCTACATAGTATATATAGACTAACTAATCAACAGACAATGAAGTAAGCTGTAAGAGAGTGAGCCGAGTCCACTATCCCCCCTCTTTGTGTGATCCCTCTAAGCCTCTCACATAACCTCTCTTCCCCCTTTCTTAACAGGTTATGAGTCTTGAGCTCCCTGCCTATGCTTTATCTACACTCTACTACATCTATGCTCTATGCAGTTCTACACATCACATGCACACACACAGTATACTATGATGCAGAACTCGACTCACCTGTCTGAGTATCCCAAACACAAATTGATATGCTGCAGACACACAATCTACTATACTACATACAACACAGACATTATATGATTGTCATCTTAGTGATTATGATCATTGGCCCAGTAATAACATAATCTATGCAGGCAACATTGAAACTATGAGAGATCATGTTATAATAAATTAACTGATCATACTACAGACGAACGTTAAAAAGATTAATAAAACAAACACTACTCTTCTGCTATTAACATTACAATAGTACAAATGTTTGACACTGTCAACGAGCACATATATGTTATAGTATAAATCAAATAATAACATATATAGTAATATCACAGCTGAACGATTAATGCTCAAAAACGAGCATATATATGCTAAACAGTATATTAAATCGAATAAATAAAACATTTAACATGTATTATAAACGATAATACAATTGCAGACACTATAATAACAATAATAATAATGATAATAATGATAATAATATGGATAGAACTAACAGAACGAATACAGAACAATATAATAACTAACACATATTATTGTTGAGCAATTATATGTAACATATTGGATTCAGTAGTTACATGTTGGATATTGTGATTACTTATTGGATAGTGAATATAATACACATATCTAAGATATACAGACGAGTACAGATATACAAAGTATAATAAATAACTACAAACCAAAAAACAATGCTACAGAGTATATAAACTAACTATGTACAAAAGAATAATGTTATAATGTGTAAATACTAACTACAGCACAAGACAAGTGCAAAAATTATAATTATTAAACAAATGATACTACTTTACACATTAATACAATTGTGTAAATGTATACTAATGACGAACGAAAGAATTATATCTCTAATATACTTGAAACAACACATCAATACAACTTAATTATGTAGAACGTGTTATCACCAGCTGATTATATAATAAATTTCGAAGTTGTAACAGTAACATTAACTGTACAGTGTATATACCTTAACAAACAATTATTAAATTTACATTGTGACAATGTAGCTTGTAGGAGCAAAGTATTAAGCTGATAAGGTTATTACAACGAATAATACAAATATTATTATTATGAACACATTATTATAATAATTACAATTGAAAACAATCATAATATAATATGATTAAATAAA